TTCTATATACACTTGTGTAGGTTTCGAATCCGATCTAGCGTGATTGCTCTTATTCTCACTTTCCGAGGCTTGTTGAAGGACTTGAGAGGTAGTTGCTTGACATCCCGACAGACCCACTTTTTCTTTTCTTTATGCTTTGACCTAGTTGAGAAACAAAGTATGACACTTGTAATTATTTCAATTTCGCACTTTAAGTATTAGTGGATGTATACGTGACAACTAGATTTTTGGGGGTTTTAATAGAAAGAATAATTTGTTCGCTTTATCTTGTTCTTGCTTTATATTTTCGCATTTCTTTCATTTTTATTGGGTTGAGGCTGACTTGTCTTGGTGGGAATTGACAAGTCTCATCACAACCATTTCTAGGTCATGACAACAAAGTACTATAAGTGACATTTTTTGTCATATAAACATGATTAATATATACGTTAAAATATTGATAAAGTTTTACATAGTTTAAGTCTATTAAAATATAAAAATGTCACACAAATTGAGATAAAGAGAGTACTAATAATTTAAAAAATATGTGTTATCACATAAATTGAGACAAAAAAATAATATTTAAGAAATATGTGTTACAATGATGGCTCAAGGGTGAGGATAGTAAATCATTTGCTTTAAGCCCCAAACAATTTTAAATGTCAATTTTATGATTTTAATTTTACTCAAAAAAATATTGAACATTATACAAAAAGAAAGATACAAAATTGAAATAAAATAGAAAGAAAGATGAACTAACTACTATCACAAATATTTTAGAACTTTGAATAAAATAACACAAATAATTTTTTTACAATAATATCCAAGGTATATATTGCAAACAAATAACCAATCTTTTATTGACTAGAATTAATTCTTACTTTTATAAATAATAATATTACTATGTAAAGTTAATCACTTAATGTCTTTTAAGAATATTACACGAAAAACAAATAGTATGCAAGAATAAAAAAGGCAATCCTAAATTAATATTATTTTTTGTGTATATATTTAAAGTCCCTTAGTATAATTTTATTTTAGACTAATAATTTTATTCAGACATCATTGTTTTCATTTTAAATTTGTAGAGCGTATATTCTGGATGTATTCATAGTAATATAAAATTATGAATAAAGAAATGAACTATAGTGTAAAACTTTGGCTAATGATAATTTTTTTACCAATGACACAGAATGTTTGAAATCCTAAGGGGAGAATTCCTTTATAAGAAGACAGCGAAATGGTATAATGGACCCTTATATTTGTACGCGTTTGTATTATGAACCCTTCTATTTAACCCTTTATCAACTGAATCCTTACACTCAACCAAAAGAAGATTTGTAAACCCTCTTATCATGTGTGTAATTCACTCGCCCTTAAATAAATGATATATCAAATCCACTCACCTAAATTAATGACATGTCATAATTATGTTTATTAACTATTTTTAAAACTATTAACCAAAATTATATAATAAAATATAAAATAATAAATTTTTAATTTATTCTTTAAAAATAAAGTTTGAAACTCCATACTTTATCTCCCCATTCCCACCTTGAAAGGTCTAAATCTAAAGCCCTTCGCCGTCGTCATCGTCTCAGTTGTCGTCGCAACTTTTGCCGGCGACCATACGTACTCTCTTCCTCACCCGTTTTCATCTCCGTCGCACCATGGCCACCAGATCTGACCGAAAAACCTCTTCGCTGTCGTGACCAAATCCCATCCTCACCCGCCTCGTTCTTCTTTCATTGGCCTGTGTCCTCTCTCTCTAGGTGCCAATGCGAAGATCTACTAAAGAATATGACAAGAGTGTGAAGAAGAAAGAAAAATGGATTGGACAGGGATGGAGATGGCCAAAAATCAGTGGCGGATCCAAGATCTGATGATTGTGGGTGCTCAATTCATTTAACATAAAGTTACTAGCCAAAAAGAAATAATCTTTCTAGATGCTTACCAATATTTTTATAATTTAGTTAGTAAATGAAATACAAAAAATAGAAAAGTGGAAAAACATAAAAGAAATAAGCAAAAATTCTGGAGTGAAAAAGTATAAAAAGAAGTTAAAAACTAAGAAGAATTTCAGTTTACCTTTTTTCAACAAAAAGATAAGCATTTACCAGGATTCGAACCCTAGATACAAGGCACTAACGACTTTAAAATTCAAGTTTGGAACCAACTCACCCACTAGACCATTGGTTTAATGAGTGCTGAGAAATACATTATATAACATTTTCAGTATTTTCTATATACATATACAAAGTTTCCGTCGGGGTCAATGGGTGCTCGAGCATCCAAACCTCAACACGTGGGTCCGCCCCTGCCAAAAATGGAGGTGAACCGGTTGGCTGAAGAAGAAAGCTTTTTTTAGTTATTATTTTTTAAAAGTTTTATTATTTTATTGTTTTTTTTTAATCTTTTAATATTTTTTAAACTTAAATAGGATATCACTCGCCTTAAGGAGAATGAATTCACACACTTTTGCCAACTCAACCATATTGATGCCATATAAGCCTAGTCAATGGTTAGAGGGGTTTGATAAATTGTGTTTTATTAAATTTAAGGGTTTAATTGATAAAGAGTTAAGTAAAAGGGTTCACAATATAAATTCATACAAGTATAAGGGTCTATTAGACCATTTGCCTAAGAAGACACCTAAATGCCTGTTGGTAAAAAAATTAAGTCAATATTTTTTTAAAGAAAAAATCCAGATGTAAATGTTCTAACTATCCTTTATCAGACATGAAAGAGAAGTAGAAAATTTAAGAGAATATTCTGCCAACTACTTTTTTTTTAAACATAATTATTCAACTAACTAAAATTCATATATTACAGAGGTCACCATTTTAAATAAATTATGAAGGAATCAAATGGATAACCTTTTATTTGGAATTTATATTTCTCAATCTCTTTTTAAAAAAAATAAATAAATAGGGTTAAAAAAGAGAAAATAAAGAAGAAATTACAAGTTGGAAAATTAAACTCTCATTAATAAAGCGAAATTCAAATAACCAACCAAATAAATGATTAACATTCTCATTTTTCAATCTTGTGAAAAAGTATCACAAAAAAATATCTTTTCAATATTCTTCTAAATCACCATATTTTGGTATGTCTGTAACTATACTTATAAAGAATCTTCAATTGAATACCTTCATGAAAAAAGTAATATTTAACTATATATAGGTAAAAAGAATTATGTGTATATTACTGTATATAAAACTTATCGATTTCATTTAAATATGTTAAAACAAAAACATAGTATACTTTCTTTTGTATTCATTTATGTAAAATATTTTTTTTAACCCATTTTAAAATCTATTTCATCACAAGTAACTTTTGTACGGACAATAATCCGTCTATTTATTAATTTATTCAACTCATGTAAAATCTGCCTAAATTCGATTTAACCTGTTCATTTTCCACCTCTAACACATGGGTACCAACAAATCTAACATACTACTCTTTCTGTCTCAGTTTATGTAAGACTCTTTGTTTTTAATTTGTCCCGAAAAGAATATTATGTTTTCTTATTTGACAACAAATTAATGGCATCATCCCTTTTATCATTATTGAGTTCCATTTAACACTTTATATAAAGAAAAGTCAACTAAAATAAGCATTAAAATAACTTTACTAAGAGCCTGTTTGACATTGTTGTTGAAGGCTAGAAACACTTATTTTGAGAAAAAACAATATTTTTTAAAGAAAAATTTAGCGTTTAGCAATTCAATAAAACTACTTTTAAATGGAAGCAAAATCAGTTTTTTTGTTGTTGAGAAGACGCTAAAAATTTCTTCTTTTTAGAAAAGCAGAAGCAGAAAATTATTTTTTTCAAGACTAAAATATCCCTTACATATATACATATTTACCAGTATATCACTTATTAATTAATTAACATATCTCATAAGTTTAGTTAAGTTTCTTCTAAGAATTTTATTTTTTATTTTTATATAATACATTGTTTATTTTATTTTACGTTTATATATTATTTTATATTTTATATTTTATATTTTATAAATTATATATTATTTTACCTATTATTTTCAGAAGTAGAAAAAAAGGTAATAACAATATTTTTGCAAGATTAGAAAAAGAAAAAAAATAAGAATTGAAGATTTCCGCCTCCCAAAAAAATATATAATATTGATTGAAAATTTGAATATATAAATTTTAATTTAATAAAAATAAAAATTTGTTTAAAACTTTTAAAATAAACATGTAAAATAGTTTATCCTTATAAAATAAGTTTAATATTAAAAGTACATTGGTTCTTGTTTCTTTTTGTAATTTGACTCTCAAAAGTACTTTTTTAAAAAACAAATAAATTAGTCAAACACAATTTACTTATAAAAAACGCATTTCAAATTAATTAGCCAAATACAAATCGTTTTTTAAAAAAACATTTTTCTAAATAGTTATTTTAAAAAAGTGCTTTTAAAAATAAATAATTTTGAGCATCAATGCCAAATAGACTCTAAAGTTAATTTGGTAAACATCAAATCAAATAAACTGTGTCAAATAAATTGAAACGAAATAAGTGATATGTCAGTTCAGCCTGACATGTGACGCTCTAAATTCTTTAAAAACGCATCAGCACCACATATTTCTACATCACACGTCTGACGTAGGTCTATTCTTTATCTATATGTATAAGCATTTCCATTTTCCTTGGTTGCTTGTACTATGAAAAAAATTAGAAGTAAGTTCTTTTTTAAATTGGAAAAAAAAACTCCTCAAGATTATCAAGAACGTAACGCACGCCCAGGGCGGAGGTAGCATATAATGAAGGGGTTCATCTGAATTTTCTTGGCAAAAAATATTACTATTTATACATGATTAAAATTATTTTTTAGATATGTATAATAGATGTCGAATTCCCTTCTACTAGTTCGAGTATTTACTTCTCAAATTTTAAACTCCTTATTAAAATTTCTGATTCCGCCATTGCGCACGCTCTCTTGTTTAGCTTTCAAGATATGACTCAGTGTGTATCCAGCTGGCGACTAGACGGCTCCCCGTCTCATCTAAACCTTGTTCTTAGCTCTCACTTTAATTCAAATAATTCCTTTGTAACTGATGCCCCATAGTATATTTCTCTCTTCTTCTCTCTCTCTTTTTTATCCTTCCATAAGGGTTTTCACCTTTTCGACTCTCTGGGTGATTCAAATTCACAATTTTAGAGGTTTAGAGGTGATGCAACGACAAAGCTAATAGCCTGCATGAGGGTTCAGTCAAATTCAGTAGAATTTTCTCAAATAGTATATTTATGTTGATAAATTCATTAAATAAATATAAGTAAATTTTTTGAATAGTTACAATCACTTAAAATCATAATTGTAAAATTTAAAATCTATAAAGTTGAAATTCTAACTTCGCGCCGTTGAGGTGATGAGCATGCTTAGCATCTGAGTAATCTCTCTTGTTGATTCTTACTCGTTTATTGATTTTTATTTAGCATAAATTCTAGGGTTTAATTAATATTTTTTTGATTTTTATTGTTATGAAGGATGGATTATGAATTAGCAGAGCTAACATGGGAAAACGGACAGGTAGTGATGCATGGCTTAGGTCCTCCACGCGTGCCTAATAAGCCTTTATCGACTCCTTCTCCAACAAAATACGCGTGTGACAATAAACCATATGCTGCTGCAGGTGGCACACTTGAATCCATAGTGAACCAAGCTCATCACCAGAATTCCCCCGTGGACGGGGGTGGAGATAGAGAGGATGATGATTTCGTGAGTTGATTTGATGATTGTCTTCCTGAAACTCAGACAACTACGGCCATAGATACTATTGCCGTAGATGCCTTAGTTCCAACAAGTTCCACTAACACGCCAAACTATAATCAGTGGCCCCATCCACGCACGTGTCCGGGACGGGGATGACCAACAAATGTTTAGTTGACTGCTCCACACGTGTTGCATCATGCAGTGGTGATGCGGAGATGGCAGGTGTGGGAATAGGATCTAGCTTTGAGGAGATTTCGAAAGACTTTGGGATTACCGAGTCTTTCGGGAATGAAGAGGTTAAGAACTTGATCGAATCAATGGTATACGAGGGACAACATAACTATATGGCTGACCAGACCGTGAGTCGGGGAGACACTATTGAAACGGGAGAGAGAAGTTTGGGTGCGTAAAGAGTACTTACCACAACATCTACGGAGTCACCTGAGAACACCTTTAAGCATAATAAAAATAAGATCGTGAATAATCATGATTTCATTTCTCATAGCAGAGCTCAAGTAAGAATATGATTTCCTTTTATGCATAGTTACAGTATACTTCCTATGATTCCATGCGGCACAACATAAGTTTATTTAGTAATGTGATTTTTCCTTATAGAACTTAATTGTTATTCTATTAGTAATGTGATTTTTCCTTTTTTAAGCAACTTTATTTTTTAGAAAATATTTTTTAAAATTTTTGACCAATCAAACATGAAAAGACAATATTTTCAGCCAAATACTACCCTAGTATCATGCTATTATTATTATTTCACTGCCTTAGTATCATGTTATTGTTTCACTACCATAGTTTCAAGTTATTGTTTTGGTATAACCTTTTGTTATTCGAAGTCCACTCCTACTAATTCAATTTTTTTCAGACCAAGTAAAAGGGAAAATCGCACTGCTCTTAGTCAAAGTTTAAGAGCAAATTTTTATTGTTTGACTCTAAAAAGAAAATCATAATAATTAAAAGTGCACAAGAAAGTATCAGTTAATTTGAGTTAACATGAAGTAAGAAAGAAAGAGAGTTTTGAAACTTATAGCAACTTAAAATAAGTGATAGCATTGTTTGTGGGAGAATAGAATAATTATTACTTTTTAAGTAGTTATTCCTTTTCTTTAGTGAAGTGATATTACTATTTTTTTAAGATATATATGTCAAATTGTTGGATAGTGTATTAAACTTTGGTGTCAACTCACACAAGGAGTCAAAAGATAATGAGGATGAGGATGAGAAAAAAGGATCCAAAATTTCTTCATTTTCAACAAAAAGGAGCAGAGCTGCTGCTACTCACAACCAGTCTGAACGAGTAAGATGTCACTCTCATGTTTCTCGAAAATACTTTATTTGTTGCAATTTATGTGATACATCTTGAATTTCAAGAATCAAATAAGACTATTTTTAATGGTAATATTTTTTAATATATTTTTAAATATTTTGAATTGTATTTTTTTTTATAGTTTATAAATATATAAATTTCATTTGTAAAAAATTTGAAGATTTCATTGAGCAAATTTTTCATTTAAACTTAAACTGTTTGACTCTCAAAAAATGAAACGTGTCACATAAATTAGGACATAAAAAATAATTGTTTTCAATTAATTATAATGATGTAAAAAATGTCTTCTGGCCTGACATCATATATATATGGGAAAAGGTCTTGATTTACCTCCGAACTTTATGATTTAGAGCTGATATACCCTCCATTTAAAAAACGGTTCATATATGCCCCTGTCGTTATAGAAATGACTCCTATATGCCCTTTTACTTAACAAATTAATAATTAATAAATTAAAAATTCATTGTTTTTGCTTTAATTTAAGAAAATGTCATGTGGCATTTAAAATATCCCACCTTCCACTATACCCATCTTCCACCATACCCACCCGACCCAATTGGAAACAAAACAAACTCACCCACTCAAATTAACTTCACCCATTTCATTTCATCGTTTCCACCTCAACAAAAACAAAAATAATTTTTTTTGTTAGGATCCGGTGAGCTCTACGATCCTGAGATCGAGAATGTAGAAGATCCACCATTGAAGCCAATGGTAATTTGTGAGACAGAAACAAGGATGGAAAAGAGGTCTTGAATATTTGAAGCAATAGGAAACAGGGGAATCAAACAAGGATTGCTTTTAAAGGGGATGCGAGAGAAATCTCGACCCTTCAGATCTGTCATATTCTCCAAATAAGACTACTTGGAAGGGCAAAGAAGCATTCACTACCAGTCAGTTACAAGCTGATGTGAAGAAGAAGAGAGTGAAGCAACTGACAATGAAGGGAAAATGGCCCGTGGCTACTACTATATTTTTGAATTTGCAAACTTTAAATATTAGATTCCAAGGATCGGTTGTAGATTTGTGCCTAAGTAGCTTTTGGTTCATTGTAATGGTTTATGACAACTTTTGATGAATCTTATTAGGCCTTATGTAATGGATTTATCAACTTTTGTATCATTTAGTAATAAAAAGAACATGTTTGAAACATTCAAAAATGAGATAGAATCATCAATGACTCGTTGACATTCCACGTCGGAGCTAAAATCATATTTCAAGAATCATTCGAATTGCAGAAATGCTTCTCATTTATCACTAATATTTCATCTCCGAGATGACTACAAATAAATCTAGGACATCATCTAAGCTATCTACTACTTCAAAGAAGTTTGTGAAAAATGCTAATTTCCGTCGTAAGTTAACAATTTTGAGATCGATTGGCTCTAGTTTAGAGGCTAGAGCTCACCGGAACCCTCACAAATTTTTTGATTTTTGTTTCATTTGAGCATGGAAACTGAAAACACTGAAATGATATGAGTTGGGTTAATTTGAGTGGGTGGGTTTTTTTTCTTTCCAATTGAGTCGGGTGGGTATGGTGTAGGTGGGATATTTTAAATGCCACATGGCATTTTCTTAAATTAAAACTAAAAAAATGAATTTTTAATTTATTAAATATTAATCAGTTAAGATAAAGGGCATATATGAGCCATTTTTATAACGGCAAGGGCATATATAAGCCATTTTTTAAACGAAGAATATATCAGCTCCAAATCTTAAAGTTCAGGGGTAAATCAAGACCTTTTCCCTATATATAATAACAACAAAACTAATTTGAATTTTTTAATTGACTATTTTTTTTAATTATTACTAGAAAAGAAGAGACAAGATAAACCAAAGGATGAAGACATTGCAGAAGTTCGTTCCAACATCGAGTAAGGTAATGAAATTAAAAAAATTAATAATTTTTTCTATCAATAAATTAATTTTATAGTTTTTTCTGTGTTTTACAGTTGTTTGGAACTTTATGTTTCAAGAATATACTTATCTATGTTCCATCAATTTTGTCTTTGCATAAAAAATACTCTGCACTTCAGTTCACTAATTCTCAACCACTATTTCAAATAATTACTCCCTCCGTTTTAAATTTATGTGACATAGTTTAATTTTACATACATTTAAAATTTATGATTCAAAATAAGTCATATATATTATTTTTGTGTGACTATTAATTATTTCATGAAGAATAAAATAAGCATTTTAAGATTAAATTATTAAATAACATATTATAATTAATAATTTTACTAAAGCTTGCAAGTGAAAGACATAAACAAAATGCAAAATCCTCGTATAAAAATTATAGTAAACTTGTTTCTGCAGTCTCATATTTTTCCTTTCTCAATCGTTAGCTTTTTATTTAAGTATCAATTATTACGTGACATGTCAAATTGCAGAGAGAGGAAAGCGAGATTAGTTCTTGACTCCTTTTATACAAATAACCAACTATTTAAGTATCAATTATTACGTAGTGTGACATGTCGGGTTGAAGAGAGAAGAAGGCGAAATTAGTTCTCGACTCCTTTCAGACAAATAACCAACTATTTAAGTATCAATTATTACGTAGTGTGACATGTCGGGTTGAAGAGAGAAGAAGGCGAAATTAGTTCTCGACTCCTTTCAGACAAATAACCAACTATTTAAGTATCAATTATTACGTAGTGTGACATGTCGGGTTGAAGAGAGAAGAAGGCGAAATTAGTTCTTGACTCCTTTCAGATAAATAACCAACTATTTAAGTATCAATTATAACGTACTTTGACATGTCGGGTTGAAGAGAGAAGAAGGCGAAATTAGTTCTCGACTCCTTTCAGACAAATAACCAACTATTTAAGTATCAATTATTACGTAGTGTGACATGTCGGGTTGAAGAGAGAAGAAGGCGAAATTAGTTCTTGACTCCATTCTGACAAATAACCAACTATTTAAGTATCAATTATTACGTAGTGTGACATGTCGGATTGAAGAGAGAAGAAGGTGAAATTAGTTCTTGACTCCTTTCAGACAAATAACCAACTATTTAAGTATCAATTATTACGTAGTGTGACATGTCAGGTTGAAGAGAGAAGAAGACGAAATTAGTTCTTGACTCCTTTCAGCCAAATAACCAACTATTTAAGTATCAACTATTACGTAATGTGACATGTCAGATTGAAGAGAGAAGAAGATGAAATTAGTTCTTGACTCCTTTCAGACAAATAACCAACTATTTAAGTATCAATTATTACGTATATATCGTGACATGTCGGGTTGAAGAGAGAAGAAGGCGAAATTAGTTCTCGACTCCTTTCAGACAAATAACCAACTATTTAAGTATCAATTATAACGTACTTTGACATGTCGGGTTGAAGAGAGAAGAAGACGAAATTAGTTCTCGACTCCTTTCAGACAAATAACCAACTATTTAAGTATCAATTATAACGTACTTTGACATGTCGGGTTGAAGGTGTGACATGTCGGGTTGAAGAGAGAAAAAGGAGAAATTAGTTCTTGACTCCTTTCAGACAAATAATCAACTATTTAAGGATCAGTTATTACGTATTGTGACATGTCAGATCGAATAGAGAAGAAGACGAAATTAGTTCTCGACTCCTTTCAGACAAATAGCCAACTAGGGTGAAATAAATTAACATATGGAGATTCCGCTATTGATTGACTGCTTGAATTATTGATCACCTTAGTGAGGGTTTAATACTTAGTATTATTCAACCTACTAAGTTTTATCTTATTGTTTAAGCAGACTAATAAGGCATCAATGCTAGATGAGGTGATAGAATATTTGAAGCAACTACAAGCTCAAGTTAAAGCCATGAGCATGATGATTCATGTTAACATGCATCCACCCCTATGATGTTACCAAATATGGCATTCCAACAACAACAACAACTTCAAATGTCAATGATGGGAATGGCTAGACCCATAGATGTCAATTCCCTTAGCAGTCCCAACTTAACAACAATGCCTTCGATTCTCCATGCCACCACACCCTCTAATTTCAATATGCCTCCTATTCCCTCCCTTGGAGCTGATCCTTTAGCTTCCTTCATCACAGGTACAACAACAAAAATAGCTCATCTTATAACTATTACATCTGTTAAATGTTAGAGATGTTATCTCCTGAATGAAAAGAAAAGAATTATTTGAGTCCACAAAACCCACTATGTCTTCTTCATTTTCTATTCACACCTTTAAAACTCAACAACAGCTGAACTCGTGATTTTGAGGTATGTACATCCTGATTCTCTTACATTATCATGAGGAGGGCATGATATTACTGTTTGTCAAAAGCATAATATTTTTTGACTGCTATAATAAAATATTGTTAAAGAGAACGTACATTACAAGAGTAACATAACAATATGGAAAAATGTTTCTAATAAAACATGACGTTATAATTAATGAAATATTATTATAGAAAGATTTGACTATATGTGTATTGGTTGGATTATTACGATTTTAAAAAAAATAGTTTTCTGTTTAAGGAGGGTTTTAACAGGTTTCAAATTCGGAATTTTTTTGCAGCTTATGATGATGAATGCTTATAGCAGGATGACAGCGTTGTACCAGCAATATCTACAGTCGAATACAAATCATGTCTTTAAAAAATGATGTGTATAGCAATGTTCTAAAGTTTGAAAACTTTTTTTCCTTGATCAATTCCAATAAGATTGACCATGGCTTATTGACAGTTCAACTACTGAATTGGTGTTACGTTCCAAGACACTTGATGAAGGAACATAATAGAATATGTAAATATGATTTATTTATTTTTAACAGTTTCATAGCAGACAAAGTGTACCATAGTATAATATTTTTTTTTCTCTTTTGCTAGTAAATGGAAGTGTGACAGTAAAAAAATGAGGATTTTTCATAAATAGATATAATTTGAACCATAATTATCATTAACAATTATAATTTTTCTAATTTTGATTCATAATAACAACTTGAGAGAGGAGCGAGAAGCGTGAAATTGAGAAAGAGAGAGAAAAATCTATATTGTATATATTGTATTTGATACATACGAGCAGAAAAATCTCTGGTACCCTGAAAGATGAAGCTCACCTTGGGATTCAGAATCAAGCATCTCTCAACTAATGTCTCAGATCAGCTGTTGGAAGATGTCTTGTACTCAGCAAAGAAAAGGAACAAGTGTAGTATCAGTATACAAATTACACTGTATTTGTAAGATCACACAGCCAGTCCAATATATAAATGTAAACATCCACTACAATATAGTAACATAGAACAATGCATAACATAACAACAATTAGCAACCACATAGACTCTCGGTCACATGTCATGAAACAACAGTAATTGGGTCAACCAATGCATGACTACATGTCCTATATGATCATAGTTCAAATGTCTGGTCCTCTTAGGGAACTACAATCACATACCTGGTCCTCTCACGAAACCCACATTCAAGCTGTTAGTGTACTAGCATGGTATCCAAGTTGTCTTAGTGTACTGGCATTGTATCTAATTAATCCATAGTTAGTGTACCAGCGTGGTACGCGAGCCAACCAATAATCACAAAGAATCATGTACAATCACATAGCACAATGAACACGACATCTTGAAAATCACAAGTTCATTGCATGAGATTACCTACATGATGTCATTTCATATATTTTCTACCATGCATTACACAAATGATACTACAAAATAGTTGACATGCATACATACATAAACCGAAAATATACAACCATCGCCTACCTCAAATCAAGCCTCTTAAAAACTCTAAATAATCTGAACTTTCCCCTTGCGAAGCGCCTCAGCTAACAATGAATCACTAGTGACCTATAATTTGCCCAGATTGTCAACAAACACTAAACCTATGCAAAAATATCATCATCTTCCTCAACTTAGGACTCCCCCACTGTGGAATCATGTCAAAACCTTCCCCCAATAGCAATAACATAGATTCTAAGGATTAAGAATCAATACATAAAGTTGAAGTGTCGAATTCTTACCTTTACTGTGAAATCCATGGGAAAATGGGTACTAACCGCCCGAAATTGCCCATCCTAAGTCCAAGAACTCAAAGTACAGAAAATAGGAGTTTTGGGTTTTTTCTGCTCTAAATCCCGATTCAGTGTGCTATAACAACAACTAACCTCGCTATAGCGGTCTACACACTGCTATAGTGGGATGCCTTCCGCTA